AGACACCAAATTATGCACAAAGATGCCTTATGTGTGTAATCTATACGAGTTTGTTTTATTTTTTTGATTTTCCCCCCCACTTCCCCTCTATGGGGGTTTTCCCGATTTTCCATTCGTATAATCGCCTATATCTCGGAGACTAAAAGACCTAGGAACACCAAATTTTAGTCCAAGATGCCTTATGTGAATACTCAGAAAATGTGTATTTTGGAATTTCCCTCCCTCTCCACTCTCCCATGCAAATTGCATCTCTAACTCCCGTGATTCTTGGAATTTCGAACTAAAATTTTGTATTGGAAGTATATTGAAAGTATATTGAAAGTATATTTGAAAGTATATTGTTCAGAAAACTCAAATAAAATTCGGTGCGATTACCTAATCAGACAAGATAATAATTTGCACACAAACGTGTCAAGCTTATAAGTACTACCATTAAAAATAGTAGCAATTATTGAAAAAAGTTTTCATGTCTCCAGTTAATAACTATAAAGTAAGTATAAAGTCCAGACCATTTCAAATTTTGAATGTCCTTTAAACATTTCTGAACCCACACACATCAATTGTTTTGAAAGTTGGCTTAATTGATTTGACACAGAAAGGGAATTGCAAGCCTTAAACTGCAAGGTTAAATGATTAATATATAAGTATGTATATATGAGAATATGTGGTCGCACACAATTAACTAATCTCTTTATTTGGCTCACATCTGTTGAGCTCTTTCCCGATCAACCTTTTTGGCCAATTTTCAAATGACTTGATCTGTTGAAAAATGATTTTCTCGTAACTTTGATGGCATGACAGCCACGGCTGGGAGCCTCATTAATAACTGACAAAAAGTTCCAGCTTCCTCGCTGAGTGCTGTGGGTGAGGATGAGGATGAGGAAGAGGGGGAGGTGGCATCAATAAATCTCACATTAATTTCGGAGCCACCATTAGGGACTGGGGCCAAGAGTGGCGGCCACTTGTCACTTGAACTCGTCGCTTGACGACCCCCAGCAACTGCAAAAACAACAATAAAATAATAGTAGCAACTACAATAGCAACAACGGTAACAACAAGAACTGTCAGCAGCGCGTGCCTGGGCAATAACTCAAAACAACACGACGTTGACTCCCTCAAATGCTGCCAAATAGAAAGCGAGACAGAGACAGGAAGATGGACAGAGAGAGAGAGAGTGCAATGCAATGTTGAACTTTAGTCGGAGTGGGGTGAGGGTAGGGGGGTTGGGGGCTGGGTGGCTGCATATAAATTGTTGACGCATCCAAAGTTGTAGGCAATTGTGATTGCTTGAGCCCGCACGGGTCCACACAAATAGACACTTGCCTGGCATCTTGCCCCGCAACTCGAGATGTGAGCGTAAAAAAGAATGCTTTCACGGCAGATATGGGACAGATAGTTCACGATATTTACCTATATTTTTATAGTTGCAAATTGTTTAGGGTTTTTAAAGTTTTTATTTGCTTGTTAGGCTATAACTAACAGATATATACATAATTTAGAACAAATTAATGAAATTAATTTCAAATTAACAGAAATAAATTCAAAGAAAGCAAATGTTGCTGAGAAGTGTGCTACGCTTTTTCTTTATTAAGAACAGAGTTAAGGTTTCAGAAATTAAAATGTGTGTATCTATATAACGCTATTATCCCTGGGAATTCAAATTTAAAAAAGTATTTATTACAAACGAGATTAATTTGCATCTCTTTAGAAGCAATCAATTAAGATTGAGTCGTAATATTTAATGTATTCTTTCTACTATTTAATAAAACTAAACTGATAACTATTAAATTATCTATTGAGTTTAATGTATGGAAATATTTTTATAATTTTTACTATTAGGCAGATCAAGGCGTGTAAGATTTATGCATGTAAATAAATCCTTTACAGTTCGCCTTGGTTTTGTATTTCGTGATTCATTTTCATTCAACGTTTCACTGTATTTATTGTGCTTCGTCTTCATCAAAAAAAAAAACACACGGGTTTTCACGATTTCGCGATCACTCACGCACATCTCTATCTGCATGTATTGCTTGGCATTTTAATTACCGCATTTCACTTGCGTTGCATAAGCAGCGGCGTCCAACTTTGAAATTGAGCCAAATTGTGCATGTGGATGTGTTTGAGGGGGTATGAGTGTGTGTGTGTGTGGGTGTGTGTGTGTGTGTGAGTGTATTGACTGTTGTATTCTCAGTGGCAGCATCGCTTGCTCATCTGTCTGGCAGCATCGTTTGCTGCACCCATAAGTTAATGCAGCTGTTGGCTCTCTTCCTCGAAATCCTCCTCTTTTTGTTGCTGTCATTCGTCCTTTTGTGCTGCCGCAATTTGCAACTGTTTGTCATGTTTGCACGTCCTTTTCTATGTTTTGTGCAAGGACTCTTTTCCCATTCTCACATACAGACATACACTAGACACCACCGGCATTTGGACCAGACTGCTTAATAAGGCCAAAAACTTTCAACGTCCAACTTTTATATGCGAGTATTGCTTTTTTTATAAATCGAAAACGGATAGTGAAGGAAGTGTGATTGAAGTCGAGATATAACTTATCTTTTTCCAAATACAAATAATAATAATGAAACGATCTTTGTGAATGAAAGAAAGACTATTTTAAAAAACGCTAATTTTTAGAAAAAAAAATAAATATCGGTTTCAAATAAATGTATGTTGTGTGAGGACATTTTATTGTATTTTATATACTTTTTTGGCTCTGCCAATACCTATTTTTATACTTTGTTATAAAAAGCCCTGGAACCTGGATTTGTTATAAACTACTATATATAATAATCATATTTTATCTCTAGTCAATTTTTCAAAAAAGGTGTACTTTGTTAATAAGAGAGAGAGCTGAAGAACTCAACTTTTGGAATACCTGAATATCTTAAAATAAACTATTATAAAAGAAGTACTACTATTTATATTTAATGTTTATACTGTGTATCCCAAGGATGAGACGCTTAATATATAAAATGGATAGAATAATATATGTGATGCATGTATGAAGGGTCGAATCGTTCATCTGTCTGTCTGTTTTGAACAATTACAGCTATGGACACCAAACCTGATATGTAGACTAATGTCTAATTTAAGCTGTCATAGGACTTATCGTTGCAACAATAACATTAATTAGCATACTTTTTTGTTTAAAAAGTATTAGTTTTCAATATGCAGTTTTCAATATGCAATATGCAATATCGCACTGGCACGTTTTTATTAAGCATTTTCGAAGATCTTGTCAGTACAATTATGTCAACCAGTGTAGATTTGTGGTTATCCAACTTGTATGCATGTTTAATGCATTAACAATTTTCCAACTTTTCTGCATATCTAAAGGGCATGCGGGCTTGTTTATTATACAAGTATATGTACTGTGTCCAATGGTCACAAAGTAAAACTACAATTATGCTGGAAGGAGGTTCTTCATGAACAGAACTGTTCATCTGATAACTAAACTATAACTTTACTGAATGCTGAAAAACTAGTGTAACCCACTATGTTTTTTAAATAGACAAATTATGTGCAAAAGGAAAATATGAGAAATGTTAAATATTGTAAAAAAAACGAAGTGATTTAATTTTGCTTTCCAAAAGAAATTTAAAATTTTTTATAACATCTAGTGTTAAAATATGCTCGCCTAATAAAAAAAGCCTTATTTTTTACGCAAACTGGCATTTTGGTGATATAATAGTGGAAGTTAAATGGTAAATTTGTTCTTTGAATGTGTTTCTATTAATATTGTTCAGAAGAAATTCCAATTTTGTTATGTTTGTTTTTAATAAGATTTTCAAAATGATTTAAATAAATATCTATTTTAGAGCTGCAAAGCTATTGCTGATAGTGTCAGTAACTATTAGTACATCTGAACATCGATCAATAGTTTTGAAGTAAGACCATTAGGATCATATAAAGCTTATTTTAAATTATAAACTTATATTCAGTTTATTGAAAAATATTACATTATTAATTTTATTTTATTATGCTATTGTTCAACTTAAGTTGAAAAAGTAGTCTTCTTTTTATAATGTTACAAATGTTTGTTGATTTGTTTAAATCTCCTGAATCTTTATTTAAAATTTGTCCTGAGTTGAGTCAGAAACAAACTAAAATTGTATGATTCCTACTAGGCCCCCATAACTGTTCATAAAAGCAAAAATAGCTCATCAGTTGTATTTTGATTTTTGTATAGCGAAAAATGTTTGGACGTACTGAAAAATTTACAACACGATAGAAATAATCGTTCAAGTATGGACTGTCGGATATATGGAATTAGTAGCTTTATCTCAAACAGTTCAGTGCTTTGATTTTATAAATGTAAATATGCTGGCAGTTGTTTGATAAGATTGTAGCTACATCAAAAAGAATCTCCACAAACAACACCCTTTCGTATGTAACTAATAATATAGACTTGCCTACATTGCTAATTATTTATATTCTCCTTGCCCACACGATTTATATTTGTATTTGTGTAGGCTCTGGATCTCACATTAAAGCTTGATGGGTTTTTGCGCATTTTAATCTGTGCTACGTACTCTGTCTACCTTGGATGCGCCATTAAAAGTCAAAAGCGCACTACGCCCACAATGTAGCAACTTTTCAGATTGCATTAAAAAGCCGAGAACAGGCGGCAGCGCACGTTGCAACGCGTTGGTGGCAACCGTTAACCACCGACCGCAAATGAAATGTGCTCCTCGCGCTTTGCCTAATGAAAGTGCAAAAGTTTTTGCAACTTCATGCCCCCGCCTGCCCCCGCAACAAACAATCCTTGCTGCTGTGATGCGAAATGAGCTTAAAATTTAGTTGCACTTTGCACTGACTGCCACTTTTCGGGTTAGAGTTTGAGTTCGGGTTGGGTTTGGGTTTGGGTTTTGGTTTCAATTTCAATTTCGGTTTGAACGGCAATGGCAACAACAAAATGGGCCAACACTTTGTATTTGGCAGGGTGGATTGGGTGTTGGGTGTTGAGATTTTTGGTATTTGTGGGTATTGCTTGCATTTATACTCACTTGCGCAGGTGCCGGGTGCCGCGCACCAGTCCGGGCGTACAACAGTTGACCGTGACCGAGGTACCTGCGGGGAAATCAGTGAGACATTAAAAATGGAAATGCGTGCCGGCTGGCCGAACCCAGGCCAGCAGAGTTTAACATTTGAATAATTTACAAAGCAAATTGTGCAAATTAAACGGAGCGAACAACATAAACATTTCCCCTCACCCCCCTCCCCAATCAACACTCAGCAAAAATACTTAGTTGCTTACTAAACTGGACAATTATTGAACCAATATCCCTTGTCGCATTTTATAAATGATTTTTCTTTACCTAAGCAGTGCACTTTTAGAAATCCCATAGATATTTGCTTGCTTTTCCACAAAAAAGGGTTTCTAAACATTGATGGAACTGAACTGGGATATATACAAAATTCTTTAATTTCAATAGCTTCAAATTGTTTCCTTTTAAATAAATTATTTAATGAAAACACTTTGAGCTTTACAATAAAATAGAGTGCTTTATCCTTTACCTAAACAAAGTTAAGTTGATTATTCGATTTAATACTATTAATGCTTTTAACATTTAGAATATTCTAAGGAATGTTCAAATGTAATGCAAAAAAAATATGACTCAGAGAAAAGAACGAAAATTGTTTAGAAATCAATTTGCTCGTTTTTCTAAAATAATCGAAAATGCATTTCATTTCTATCGAAAAACTCAAAGAGATAAGTTTAATTTACATATAGTAATTTCCCCCGTTTTTTTTAAATTTTAAAACATAAATTATATAATTAGTTTTTTTGTGGGAATGAACAATTTTAGCTCCATTGTTATTCAAATTTGTATTTATATTCAATTTCAAAATGATTCACTTTAAAGCAAAAATGAAACTACTAGTATTGGCTTTGAATTGCTTTTGAAAAATTTATAGAAATTCCATGCCATGTATTATTAGGAGCAGTATTGTTATAAAATTTGTTTTATTTACTGCTTAAAAGAAGAAGAATACGAATTTCTTGAATGACAAAAATAAGAACTAAGAGCGTTAGTTTTTTCTGAACTTTTAGCCAAGAACGGATAATGGGAAAAAAACTTTTTTGATTATACTCCATTTCAAAATACTTCACTAAAATAGTATTGTACGGGCTTTTTATAAAAATGTTCCCCTGCTTTTGTTACATATTAGAAACTGCCCTTTCATTCATAAAATTTATAAACATACTTTATATGATGAATATGAAGTATATGAGATCTTATAGCCCGAACTCTTTATTGCTAATTAGTAATAGAAACACACAAATTTAAGAGGGAATTATTATGAAAAAATTAAGTAAAATGAAAAAGAAAATAGTGTTGCAAGCAAGAAGCTTACTAATTCATATTGAGTTTCCAAATGTAGTAAATTTTTTTAGAAACAGGACAGGTTCGTATTTTTTTTTATAAAACTAATATATATTGAAATTGGTTCTTGACTTCTTTTTTTTTACGTGAACATGGAATATTAAATATTAAAATTGTTTGCAAAATTCTAACAAATGGTCGTAAAATTCCCTTCGCCACCATATCTTAATATTCAATTGATTTTTAAAGGGAAATAATTATTTTTCTGAGTGCGACAACCATCCACCTACCTTTTAGTTCGTGAGCCAGCCAACGTGTGGCCAAAATCACGGCCAGCTTGGAGTGTGCAAAGGCATCGCGTGCATGAAATTTAACCGACCAGGTGCCCACATTGAGGGGATCGTCGAAATCGATTTTGGCCGCGGCATGGGCATGTGCCGACACAAACACAACCCGTCCCTGTTCGGACCGTTTCAAGTGTGGCAGCAGCAGTTGTGTCAGCAGAAAACCGGCCAGATAGTTTACCTGTAAATGTGGCTCAAAGCCATCCTCGGTTGTGTTCTGCGTATTCGCGAATGCCACGCCCGCATTGTTCACCAGCACGTCGATGCGCTCGAACTCGGCCATTATCTGGCCAGCAAATTGATGTACGCTGCGCAGGGAGCGTAAATCTAGTTGCCGTGCCTCCACAAAGTACCGTTCCGCCGGCGAACTTCCGCTGTGGCCCGCTTGCAGCGGGGTGCGGCAGCCCAGCTCCCGCTTAATGATGGCGGCTGCACGCTCGCCCGCCTTCAGGTCGCGACAGGCCAGAATGATGCGTGCCCCCCGGCCGGCCAGTGCTTTGGCTATTTCGAAGCCCATCCCGCCACTGCCACCCGTTATGATGACAATTTGCTCGTTGATTTGATTATCGTTGGGACAGCGTTGACCGCTCATCAGCGTCCTGTAATGCAAATCGTGAAAATGTTTAATGCTCGTTGCCCTCCAATTGCCATCAGTTCTGCAGTTCAGCAACTCATTAATGGCCGTTTAATACACTTGACCCACATAGCTCGGCAAGTTGAACTCTCACAGCCACGCTGCTTTAAGCCATATATCTAATTCATGTACACTGCCACACATTTTCGAAGGGCGCTTCGACTTTATTCCAATTTAAATGCAATTTCTACATGGCTCAAATGTTTGGAATTTTGTTTAAAGCTAGCAAAAATGCAATTTTGAACGGAATTGTTGGCTTTTCAACCATTTTGTTTATTTATTTGCTTTGCAGACTACACACTTTTTGAACTGCATTGTGATTCAGATACGGATAATGGGTGGCCAAATAAAACTAGCAGGTAAAAGTTTGTTTCCAAAATATGTGAATTTTTAGAATTCTGTCATATTAACAAAGGGACCAAAAATTCAGGTGTTTTTTTAATTCGATTTTAATACATTTCCTTTTGTCAACTGAAGATTGAAAATGGACCATCCATTGTATGGAATATATAGAATAGAACTATCTACTATCAGGTGACAGATGTAAATTGAGAAAAAATGCCTTGATTTAATTGTTTCTGAATTTATATCACTTATTTATTATTATTTACTTTCGAAGAATGGGGATTTTTTGGGCTGCACATCAAATAAAGGTTAAGGCAAGCTTTGACAAAATTCAGTTGGGATGGCTGCAAATAATTCCATTGTTTTTATAGGTCCACTACTAATTGCAGTTTTTATTTCAGTTTTTAGAGCATTTAGGAAAGGTTGCTCTAGAGCAATGAGCCTGACCCTGTTAAGTGGTGGACAATAATAAAGGAAGCATTCCCTCTCTTTATAATCTTTAAAGCTCAGCAGAAAACGTGAAATGGTCGGAAAGTAACCCTACAACCCCAAAAACTTCCATTCTCTTCAGATTCAGTTATTTTAATGTCCAGAGTTGGCCTTGGATGAGTGAAAATAAAATGGGAATGGAAGTAGTGAAATGCAATTATTGTTCTTGAGACCTTCAGTTTTGGTTCTTAAATCAAACTAACAAAAAAAAATGCAGACACACAAATATCACTTTTTCTTAAAAAGTTGCATTTTGAACTTTATTGTTTCATTTTAAATTGATTTTCAATTTTAAAACTTCCATTGCATTTGAATTAACTTAGAACATAGTTTTATCAAGTTTCATTACCAAGTTTCGTGGTAATGGTTAAAAAAAAATCACTTCAAAAAAGTATATTCCCTTAAAAATCAAGACGTTCAGTAATTTTCTTTTTGAGCGGGCAAACAAGCCCGACTGTGAAATACTCTATACGCAAACATACTTCCACCGATCTGTTGTCTGCGTTGTTATATGCCCGCATAGTAGAAGCAGGACTGATTTATAATGGAGCATAGTTGTTTCACTAATAACTTTACTTAAGGATATACAGATTTGGATAACACCTATTTGTTTGCATAGGAGACATTTTTTTAAGCTAAGTGGAATCTAATGTTCATGTTCGTTTCACAATCGTTTTCGGGTCATTTGTTCTAAATATAATGATCTCATTTACTCTCGGCAGAATGCTCTCTGAATTCTATCAAAACTGTCCTTTATACTTATTCCGGTCCCAATTGTAAATAAAATTCCCCCAGCGTGTAATAGGCATTATTGTATAGTTTTTTTTGAGACTTACTTACTTTTTAAGTTTTAGTTATAACTTGACAACATTGACAGCACTATTTGTTGATATATTAAATAAATAATAAGTATATAAGTATAGTAGATAGACAAACATGTGGTGATTAAGTATATGAGAGTGTGTCCTTGTCCCTGTTAAATGCTTTGCACAAACCGTATATGCCCTTTTCAACCTTTGGGTACAGGGGACTAATACGCTTTCTAAGCAATTGCTTAACTATTGAGCGACATTGTGTGTGTGTGTGTGTGCGATTGAAATCTGTGTGACATGACTGAAGCACTTAATAAATATTTTTCTTGCAGCTTTTGCCACATTTGGTGCCAAGTTGTATTACTCTAGTATTGCAGCATCCATTATTCACTGACAGACGCCCACACGCTCAACTGTGGTCGTGCACCTGCAAGTGCAGCAATAAAAATGAAGAAAATATAATAGCAGTGACCAATATAATCCTTAGATATTATATATTATCTGCACTTTTACTCCGCTGTACTATCTGGCTCTTCGTTTTATTCTTTTGCCGGCCACTTCCCGGCACAGTTCAGTGGCTCTTTATGAAATCCACTTAAAAAGTTTCGCGCAAAACGAGTTTTTTATTTTTCATTTTATTTTTTTTTTACTCTTGCCCCGACATTTATTTACGTGTCCGGCGACAGAGTCGTCGCAAAAGTTTGCCACGAATGGGACCACATCTTATCGTTAGTGTGGCGTTTCCTTTTTTCGCGCTCATGAAAATGTATGAGGGGCCCACCGACATAATCATCATCAACTTCAACCTCAACCTCTACCGCTACCGCAACCTCTATCTCATCCTCATCCTTATACTCATGCTTATTCTCATCCGTTGTCTGTCAGACGCACTCACCGCACGGTAATAACAATGCCAACCACAACGGCAGCTATTGTGGGCCACCAGGTTGAGAAGGGATCAGCCTGCTCGAATATGGTTAGCAGGCGCTCCATCGCACTGTTTTCCAGGTGCCTCCGCAAAATAATAAAAACAGCTACGAAAGCAACACGAACACAATAACAACAACAACAACAACTGCAGCGCTCTGCATGCAATTTTTAAAAATATCGCGCCCGTATTGATGAGTCAAACGTAGACACTGTCGCATTCGCATTCACGTCTGGATTCGCATTTGGATTCGGATTCGTATTCTCCACGTACTCGATGCTGATTCTGATGTCGTTGTTGTGGTCTGCACTGCAGTGCCAATGCCCGTCGACTGGCCGCATAAAAGTTTTCTGGTGTGTGGAATTGTAGTAATAAATATATTTTCTCATTGCGTGTCCACCCACTCCAGCACCCGTACCCGTATATGCCAGAAAAAAGCGATGATGACTAAAGTGGAGATGCGACCCAAGTAGTGGGAAAGTGGTAGTCAGAGATGGACACGTGACTCACGCTTCTACAATTCAGAAAGTCAGCAAATTTTTTCGAACTTAGGCTTTAACTAGCTGGGTTTAACTGACCTGTGTACTCTTTTAACATTGGGGATAATTACAGAGAGTTTTAAATATTATTACATAAACATTACATAAGTGTGAGAATAAATGCATTAATGTTAATCCTTTTAAATTTCATTTTAAAAACAAAAATATTTCATTTTTAAACATAAAAATACATTATTATTCTATCTACATGGCACTTACTTGTTTTCTATAAAATTATTATTATTTTCACTCAAATTAATAGAATTTCATCAACGATATTCAGGTTTCTTCTAATTTGTATTATCCTGTAAGCGATTTTGTATCGTAAGTATACATATATTAGAAAAAAAAATGTCTATATTCTTCTAAATAGTCCTTGCGAATGAGCTTTGTTTTTTGAGATTCAATGAAAGTATAATTTAAAAATTACATAAACAAACTAAGAAAACTGAAATAGAATAGAGGTTTTCCATAAATCAACATTTTCTAAGTATTTCATTACAACTATTTTAATTAATTATATAAATTTTAACTGTTTGTAATTATTTGTATAAGTTTTAAAGGCGGGCCAACAGGCAGTTCGTATTTAAATCAATTTTACGTCATTAATATATTAAATATATTTTATTCTTCTACATAGATTGACTTTGTTATTCAATCTTTATGATGTTGTTTATGTGTCGGCTATCTATATAACCTATCAATAAAGGCTGAAAATATCTAAGTGGTTATCCAAAACTTATGTTTTCGTTATTCTCGATGTGTGTTGCAGATCATTGTCTTGTTGAAACATAATGTATTTCTGTATGTATTACAATATAAAAATCCAGTCACTGTCTCCCCAATACGTATAGGTAGCCTGGTTAGGAAAAAAGCATCTCTAAGCCACAATTGAACCCCCATCAGGCTTCTCACAATTCTAGTGCAGCAGTCAGGATAAAAAATCAAGGTTGCATTTAGTTTCAACCGACAACAGGAAATTAAACCATTTCTTTAGCAGTCAGTTGGCAAGTTCCTCAGCCAAGGGTCAACTCGAAACAGCGTTGTGGTGACTAAAATAATAAAACATTTAAAAATTCACAGCCTGTGGATTTTAAATACAAATATGAATACGTTCTTAAGCTAAGCCGATTTCTTGAAAAACGAAAACAATGGCAAATAATATGCGTCAAATTCCTAGGAGGTTGCCAGCTTACATTACTGAGTAGTTACTGAGAGTACCGCACGGAGTTCATCTCTAACCCACATTGCTGAGCAGGTTGGGCGTTGAGACTAGGTTGCTGGCTGCGGTTTTATCGTTTTTTTTTTGTGCTGTCAGATTTTGCTTTAATTTTTTTCCTCTCTCCTTTTCTCTCTTTCTCCCTTTCTCTTCAACGTGTCCACGGCGGATTAGTTGTGGGGATTAGTGTGTGTGGAAGAGGGGGACGAATGCTGTACTGCCTGCCGGTGCGGCAAAAGATGCTGCTGACAATTGAATTTAAATGGTTGCCCAGCCATATTTTCAATTTACATATTTGTTGCTTGTTGCGCGGCATTTAAATGAGGGCTAGAGCCGGCAGACGACCCTAGCAGCCACCCCTCTACCAACACCCACCTCGCTCACCTGTCGCTGCTGTGTTGGGTGCCGTTTGGTGCCGTTAGGTGTGAATAAAATAAAGTGTAAAAAAGAATGTCCGTTTTATTTACACACTTTTTTCAGCTTTCAGCTCTCCGTTTTTCTTCCCCCCACTTGTTTTTGACTCTTTTACGCATTCGCTTTGAATATTTTGTATACGTCATCTAATGTAATTCCATTATTGCGAACGTGGCAGCTTCGCCACAAATTTTAATTAACATTTAACAACATTGTAACTTGTGTTCACTTCCGGTTGGGTCAACCACTTACATTCCCACCCCCACCTTCCTCTTCCCATTGACAACTCCAATTGAGTTTTTCCACAATTGCTGCGATGACCCTCATAATGTGCAGGGCATTCCATTTATTTTAATTGAGTGCATAAATCAGTGCAAACGAATCCAAACCAGAACCATAACAACCAAATTAAAAGAGTTACACGCATTTCTGTGTTTTGTTTTTGAAATAATTTCATTTCGTTTATTTAACATATGACGCTTCTCTTTACATACATACTATCTATGTAAATGCATAGAAACATACATATGTAAGTACTTTTAACTAACGGCGCCAATTCGCTCCCATCTGGTTGAATTAAATTTCGTTTGAGTTCCTATAAACCATTTAAATGTACCTCACTTGATCGTTTTCTTTAGTTAAGTAGTTTGCTTTTGCTCAGACAGTGTTGTTGAGTTTTTCTCTTTTTTCTTTGTTTGCTAGTTCTAATTGGAAAATTGTTTGATATATTTTGCATATGTTGTGGAAGTGTGTGTGTAGGCATGAGTGTGTGAGTTAAGAAGTTTTTCTCAGACAAAGTTTGCTACGAACTTTTGTCAACTTTTGTTTTTTTTTTGTGGCATAAATACATTGGTGACCAATTGAATAGGCAGGCGATTCACAGATAAAAGCATTATTGAATAATAACAAATTTTAAATTAATGTTACAACTTTGACAAGTGAATAATGTTTCCAATTCCGTTTGTGTTTCAATTCCAACAAATTGATAAATGCTTTTCAGTCAAAAATGGCACTGCTATCAAGTAACTGGAACGACAACGAATGAGTTCGGAACAAAATATATAAGAAAAGAAAATATATCATTTGTTGCCGAATACAGTTCATAACTGAATAAGTAATCGTCGCTATATGTGAGTCGTTAAAATAAATTATTATCTGATCGAAAGCTAAAACTGCTAAAACTTTTATGAAAATGCTTTCGATTTTTCATAAGTCAGAAAACATCATAAGCCTTTGATTATAAGTTGTAAAATGCATCTATTTGTATATTGTAAAAATTAATTGTTACGAGATCTTTTCATTATTATCTTTTTATGTATTTTGCATTAGAAATTAATTTCTGAGCCATATTTTGAATTTCTAAAGTAAAATCATAATTAGTCAGAAAAATTATATGGGAACTGTAAAATCAATTTCAAAGACATTTTGCTTTTCAAAGTTCAGACGATTCCAGTCATTCTTTGGGGTTAATTTTTGATAGTCTAATGTGCCGAAATAGCACAATTGTTTTAATTCTCACTCATTTCCCATCCAGAACTTTTATTTATTGGCAGTAATTGGAATAATATAAGACAGATCTGAATCCTATTGAGCAGTTGCTTGAGAGAAGAAAACGCAATATTACTCAGGAAGTCTTCAACTCAGTGGGAAACACGTTTGTTTGTTTTTGTTTATGGTTTTTTTTTTTTTCAAAGTTTGTCAAAACATTTTTTGATATAATATCGTTGCAGTTGACTTCAAATTACAACCAAACCATAAAAAAGGTTAAAAGAAGTTCTGCTTAAATATGTATTATAAAATGTTCCTTAAAATCATTATTTCCCCGATTACTTAGGCTGATGAAAAGTTACTGTGAAAAGCGTGGTGTGCCCATACTTATTTGACTCACTGTATAGAAATAAGCAAAAAGTGAACTTGTCTATTCAATTGATCAGCATTGGTGGTGTGTCTGTGTGTTTGTATAAATAGTATTCTAATGTAAGAGTGTGCGTTCGTGATGGTTTTTTGTGTAATTAGTTAATAAGTTTTCCACCCTATATGCCTTTTAAATGTTGAGTTCTCTAAGAAGTATCAATTAAACAGTTCTATGTACAATTTATGTGGCTTTGATTCGAAATAAGAAATTTGTAATGAGTTGGATTTGAATACGTGCTTAAGGTTAGTAACAAAATGTTTATTTATCAATCCTAACAGAAAGTAAAGTTCGTCTGCTAATTATTATTAAATATTACAGAGTTTCTTTTATTTAAAATTAGTATCACTAACAAGCTTTGTTTTTAATGTTTTTGTTCTTGAACTTCGACTCTTATTCATTCACATCAAAATCTATGCCATTAGGTGAGTAAGTTTTCTTGCGAAACAGGCAAATCAATTATTTATTTCTTCATCGCCATCGCAATAACATTATTTTCTTGGCCATTTACTTCAGTTTGTCGGCCATTGTATTAGAATTTAAGTTTATACTTTCGATCGATTTCTAAATGTAAAGTTTAACTTTTGCTTGGTCGTCAATGTTTTTTGGATTTTGTTTAAAGATGTATAAGATGTGTATATATGTATAATATATATTCGTATAGAGGCCATAACTACTTTATAGAATTTTTGCTATTTTTTATTTTATTGCAACTTATAATAAACAATTTCTTGTCAAGTTTTTATTTTCATGTATGTGTGTGTGTGTGTGTTTGTGTAAATACAAAGTTGAGAATGAACACTCTTGTCAGCCATATGTGCTTCTGAACACCCCCTTCTACCAATTTATCCCATGATGGAAAGGCATTGAAATTTCCTTGCTACAAATTGTGAATTTTATGCTACAAATAAATTATGTGGTCTTGTGGTTGCTTTGTTGTTGCCGCTGCTGCTGCTACTCAGCAAAGTAGGAAGAGATAGAATTTTAGTTTTGAAATATTTACATTGGTCGCCGAAATACGAGTGGAGGCTTGGGCTGAACATAATTTAAAAATTGTTATGCAATTTTGGTTAGTTGCTGCCAAATTATAATATGTTTTGCCATCGGGGTCGTTGTCGAATCGCATAAAATATTAATAATTATTTATTAGTGACATTTTAAATTATTTTAGAATCTGTGCGCTTGCAGCTTTTCCAAATGCATAACCAGTTTGTTGAATATTTATTTATTTATTTATGCGGGTTGTGTTTGTTTAGCAATCAATAACACGTCAGCAGTGCTAAATTGTTTGATTTCAACTAAGTACGAGTGCCTATGTGTGTGTGTGTCTGTTTGTGTTTGAGATTTAGTATATACTGTGTATATACTAGGTCGCTTATATACAAATTGTCGCATGCTCAGTTCCGATGATTGTTGTCCCTATTTTTTGTCGACGGCTGCTGCCAATTTTTGCTGTTGCTGCTGCTGCTGTTTTTCTTGCTGCTCTCCTTGGTTTTTAGCTCTACATACACATATAAGTGGTTGATATAAGAGACACGTTATCTGCAAATAAATGTGAAAATTTGAATATTCAATTAGCAATGTGCATTTCACTGGATATTTTCAATATTTCTGCGGATGAGCAAATAAATTGACAATTAATATGCGCATTCGGGCGAGCAGGGTGGCAGCGACGAGATAATACTGCATATCTGCTGGATTCTCAGCTACCTAGAGGACACTTTTCCAAAAAAAAAAATGAATGATGGAAAGGAATGAATGAGTGAACTAAATCTGCTGCCCGACCCATATGCCAGGATGGAGACAAAAAACTCACTCAATTGTTCTTGCAACTAGAATGATAGGCATGAAGGCTCACTAGACTAACCAGTCTAGGTCATTGTTTGTTTGCCGCCCATGCCAAGAAACTGGCAAAAGCCGTTAACTCACGAAATCAGAAACAAGCAGGACAAAACAGGCTTGGAAAAATGTTCACCCAAGTTGCTGATGGATTATTAAATCGCTCTCTAATACCCGGCAACACTAATAACGAACTTGTCTTTATGTAAGACTGACATTACGTTTTGTTCAAATTCAAATATCTTCAAACTATAAACTTAAATTTCAGAAAAATATCGTTGCTTTCAAGACGAAAGTTTACTGTCAAACGAAATGTATTGCTGAAATATGCAATGCCATTATAGATATATACATACTTGTATATAATATGTATGTGTGTTAATTTGATCCAAATCAAAATAAAGTACCCCCTTAATGTCATGCACTTAGTATATAAGCTGAAAGGTTACGGAAATGAACAAACACTAATGTGTAATATAAGGTCCCTAAACAAAAGCCACAAATGAATTCGTTTTTCGCACTCAAGTCTCTTCTGCGTAATGAAACGCCATTCACTTATATTATGTTGCTATTAGCCCTAATGAGCCACATATTCCATTTATAAATAGTTGGTGTTGCAGCAAACATTTAGACATGCTGTTATACACTCGTACATGGGTTATGCAAACAATCTACTAAGAACTTGCTGGGCAGCAGGGTATGGAACCGAAAAACCAATCGATTTCAATGCTCATACAAAAGTTGGCACATTGACACATACATATGTATACAGGGTGCGCCATCTTTTATGTCGGTATGTAAAAATTGAATATAAACAACCGATTTTCAAGTATGAGATATTTTCATTTAATTTGGTTCTGTACAATTTATTCAGACTAATTTTTGAAAACAACCTCAATCAAGTCAATCGGTTCACTAATGACAAAGTTATTCAATATTTACATACCAACATAAAAAATGGCGCACCCTGTATAGAGTACACTCGAAGAAAATACATATAATAATTATTATTTGTATGCTGCGAAGTAGAACAAACTGTACACATTTTTATACCCTGTACCCAAAGGGTAAGAGGGTATATTAGTTAAATAAATAAAGTTATAGCCATATAACCAGGCCAATGCACACACATACAAGAAGTATGTACTAGTACACAAACACGCATAGACACGATTCTGATGTAAATATAAATGTTTGTACATATGCATGTATGGAAAATTTTATATTTAATTTAGTTAATTAATTAAATCAATTACATTAAATTAATTAATTAAATTACATTTATTTATTTTTTTGTGGGGTGGTACAGGGTATTTAAGAGTTGAGCCTGCTCGACTTTAGCAATCCTTTCTTGTTTAATATTAAACGAAGGTAAAAATGTGTCAAAAGCATTTCGGTTGTAATCTTAATATTAATATTAATCAAGAGAGATTTCTTTTTTTTTTCAGTTGTGAAGGCAACTTATTCCTAGGACTTGCAAATAATTTGCAAGCAAATGTTTGGTTTTCCACAAGTAAGCTTAAAATTTTAAATTCAATTTCAATGCCAGCAGATTACGTAGAATAGATTTGCTTTATATTTCTGAAAAACTTCTACTATAAGGTTGATCTTTTTGATTATATTTAGGCGGAAAAACAAAAATAAAAGCCGGGACAAATAGACAAAAATTAATTTCGAATTATTAAATAGAAAACTATTTTTAAAAACTTTATTTGCAAACTCAGAGCAATTTTCAGCAATACTTTTAATTTTTTTCTTTTGATTATTTAGCTCCTTAATATTAAACATTTTTCTAGAGATAAAATGAAGAATTTTTATCCAAATGCAAGGGTTAGATATGTACATACTTGTATGTATATATCTTTTTACAAATTATAAAGACATTTTTCTAGTATTCTTAGTGGAGATAAGAGATATTTTTCTAAAATTTGGCTGCTAATCTTGAAATCCATTTACCTTACAATTCTTATATCCATATAATACATTATTAATTAATTATTTTACTCTTTATCTGAAATGTGTTTTCTTGAAATTAAATTTGTATAAAAAGCTTGTACTAAATGTGTTTAAAAATTGTTTCTATAATTTGATGATTTTGCAATCTAAATGGTTTCTTTCATTGATAAAATTGTATGTGTTCAGACATTTGTTCCTGCAAATTTCTACATTATATTAATGTTTTATTTAGAACATCAAATATAATAATTCAAGAAGAGTTCTAATAGAATTCTAGTATTCTAGAATTCAACTTTTCTTCCTCAGTGCTTCTACATACTTACTCGTACATACATACTATATGAATAGTTCCAAGTACACATGCATTATGCACAGTGCTGACAAATTTTTAATCAACACCAACTTATATAACAGTGGATACAGATGCCAGTAACAATAACAATAACAACAACAACAAATGGCCAAAAACCAAATGTCGTTTAGAAATGAAAACCTTAAAAATTCGATGCCCATTTTGGCACGTGCGCTCGTATTGGCATTGTTGTTGTTGTTTACGTTTTTGTTTTTGTTCAGTTATTCACTTGTTTCGTTGTTGTTGTTGGCGATTGTGTGAACCTTGATTAACGTAACGGTAGCAAACGATGGCCAGAGTCTATGAAGAGAGGGAGAGAGGAGAGTGGGGAGAGAGGGCAGAGGGCAGCAGACAGCAGGCAGCAGTCTGGCATTGGCGAGCAAATCTCTCGACGCTGTCTCTCTAAATTTTAACTATGAATGTGGCGCGCTGGCAGCAGCAGCCAAATGGCAAATATAACTGTGCTTCCACATCATTCTCTATCTCCTTATATGCGTGAGTGTGTGCCTGTGTGTGTGTGTGTGTGTGTGTATTTTGACGCTGTTGTGTGTTGGCAGTAAAATTTGTTTACCAAAACCTTCTTAGCTTGGCTTAGTAGCCCAGCCATTGTTTGTGTTTGTGTGTATTTGTATTTGTATTTGTATTTGAGCGCTGCTTAGTTCTTGTGTATGTTTGTGTTGACAAAAGTGGCGTGTCTATGTGGGTGTGAAATTTTATGCATGTATGCATGCCCGGCTGTGTGTAAATCTCTATTCTGGTGTGGTGGCGTGTTTGTGCGCGTGCCTCGCCTTTGGCCTTTTTGCTGCTGCTGCTGCTGCTCCTGCTGCTGTGCTGTACTGTTGCCACTTTTGTTTGTCTTTGTGCCATGTTGTATCTTCTTCTTCTTCTTCTGGTTCTTGTTGCTTGCCTTTCGCTTTGCCTTGATTTGCTCTGCTTTTTGGGCAGCCTCTAAGTCAGTCGCAGTCGCAGCCCTTTGACCATGCAATATTTTTCCACACACTCCCACACCCCCACACCCCCACACCATCACCACCTCCACCACATTAGCATAGACAGCAAACGTGTGGATTTTGTTGTGGGGAATGGTTGTGGCGGGCATGGCATTAAAATATGTAAGCAAAAAGGCGAGCGGATGAAATGTTATAAAAAATAAGACACGGGATAAGAATCGGCTGCCATGAACTCTTTGTTATCCTGTGTCTGCTTACACCAATTCGTAGGTCGTAGGTAATTCTCAAACTGGTACTTCTTGAACGAAATGTTTGTCATTGCATTTCAGACTATTTTATTTTTTTTTTAATTTTTTTTTTATTCAAAATATCAACAACACTACTGCTAACGCCACAGTACTATATCTATTTATATAGGCAGTTAAGTTGAGCAAGAATCTATTGCTTTTAGCCATAGTCAAGGATTCTGATTTATTCTTTGTTATTGTGGCAATATATATCTTTTCCATCGTACAAATGTTTTTGATCACACGAATCTTGTCTGTGCAAGACACACATATTGTTAGGAAAAGCAAGTACTACATTTCGGAATTTAAATACAATAATAATACATTTTATTTGATGGCTAATCATTCAGAACTTTGTGCAACTATAGAATCTTCTTTTTCATTTCCTTCAATTTCACATGAAGGCCTGAAGTCTTCTGGAGAATGTGGCGTTTACGCAATTAATTGTCTGAGACGACACGGGTATAAAATAACACCAACTTTGGTGTTTGGAAAGTCTTGGAAACTCTTAAATCTAGACATTATTGCAGAGACACCAACTTTGGTGTTTGGAAAGTCTTGGAAACTCTTAAATCTAGACATTATTGCAGAGACAGGTAGACTGCCAGACCTATCTCTATTACTAGTCTAAGCTAAAATACCCTTTTCCCCTTTGATTGCAGGGTGTAAAATTGTCGACAGCGCACACTTGCTACTTGTACGCATTGTTGCTGCTCTTGTTGTTGGCATTTTATATTTTAGCATAAAAATAAACAAAGGAAGAGATACATGAATACAAAGCTGGCCGCAACAATGCAGCACCAGCACAGGAGTAGCAACATAAAAGCTCACGCCCCATTTTTATTGCCAGGCGAAAGGAGCACAACGTGCTATGTAAATCTACTAGTACATATGTATGTATGCTTGTGAGTTTCTGTCAGTGCGTTGTGTGTGTGTGTGTCTCTTTATTTTGCTGTTCTTGTGCTGTTCTATCTGTTGTCCACTCAAACATTTTATATTTGTTTTATAATGCGCCATGTTCTCGTCATTCTGCTTGCCATGGCCATCAAAAACAATTTAACGGCTTTGCATTTTTTGTTTGCCATTGCGCTGTTTTTTTTCTTTTACTCTCTTCTATTAAATTTACTTAAAACAGAAAAAACAAATTTAAATTGCAAA